AAGTTCAAGTTATGATCAGAATTCTGGAGTTCCCAAGATTCTGTATAAGGAGCCGCGCTTTTTATAACGTATATTAATGATGTGGGTATGAAATTAAATGCTGTTAATTTATTACACACTGATGATTTATCGATTTATTATTTATAGTGTGCACAGAATAACTTGAGTTCAAACAAAGATAACTTGTTGCATCTGTAGTTTCTCTAGGAAATTAAATATCCTTTTAATTAGATTAAAAAAAATATATATAAGCTATCTTTCTCTGGTATCAGAGACTTCTCAATCTCTCGGATAAGATTATATTTATCTAATTGTAGGCCATATGTCTTAATCAAGGGTATATATATATAAACGCTTTATCTACAAGGATCAGATCTAGGTCCAGTTTAATTTTTTCTTTTTATTAATGATGAAACAATGTCATGGACTCTAGGGACTTTCGTTTATACGGTGATGATTTATAAATGCATGCATAAATAAATAAATATAACAAACTAGAGATTAATGTTTGATTTAACAGTTGTTTATAAAATTTTATCTTTGTTGATTATTAATTGACCCAGTTATTATCTGCATCGTGTCAAAAATAATAGATCCCTTAAAAGAAAAATTTTATGCAGATTTTTATTAACAGATTCTCAGGCGGCGCTTCAATTAAATTTTAACTTGGTGACCCACAAATCTCAATAAAATGTTACTTAATTTGCACTTATTTTTAGATAAAAATTAATACTGAGACTATGATTTAAGATACAATAAATTTTTAGGGAAAAATAAACGATAAGTGGAGACGAAATTAAATTTAGGTGTATCTATTAAAGGTCACCATCCCTTGAAATTGTTTGTCGGTCTTCTGCTGTTCTCTGGTTTTAATCCGTTTGTTACAGGTTATGAGAAAATTTACTTTGTATTAACGTTTAAGTTTCATGTTGGTTTAGCAAAAACCTTTGCAGGTGAGGTCCGAGAAGGGTTTAATAACCGAAAGCAATAGCCTTTGAAACATTAAAAGCAAGCGAGCGACCGAAAACAAACGGTTATTGTATTCCCATTTTAGTTAAGAAATAGTTATGTCATGCATATAAACATTAAAGGCGTTTATCAGTGTCTTCTGTGATATTAGTGATGAATGGTATTACGTAAGCTAAATGGGTGTTTGTTTTTATGTGAGGTATTTAAAAATAATTATAACGTGTAATATTTAGCTCTCATAATGGACCATAAATTACTCTGACTTATTTTTTTCTTTAAAATACTAACATTGTTCTAGGAGAGCCACTTATCTGAATGCTATCATAATAATAAAATAATAAGACATATACGAGTATATAAGATGCATGTCACGTTAGATTTCATTGTCTCAGGTTCAGCTGTTTCCACACAAGTTTAACAAACTAAAAGTGGTTTAAGGTTACTTAAACAGAACTTCCCTCATTACACACAGTTATATTATTCCTAAAAAAGTATATATAAAATTTGAAAACAGTCGGTCCGGTAGTTTCGGAAATTATCTGTTTAATAAAAATCTACGCAAACAGACGGAAAAGGGGGACTTATTTTTTCATAATCCGGTGGTAATGCGACCTGGAGAAAACATCAAAGTAGCTGTTCGCTGGATCTACCCTATTATAATACTTTCTCAGCTTACACTCGGGAAGTAAAAAAAAATGTTTTCACCATCACTCCACTTCTACTGATAACAAATAAGTAAGACAAATTTAAGGGTCACTTTTTCAATCCCTAATTATTCAAGAATAAAGGGATCCGCTTTACTACGAAGGAGTCGTGAGGCAATTTATTTTTCTGTGGGAATTTCTAAACATATGAAAAAATTCAAAAGCTATTGTCACTGCTGTGATTCTGGTGATCGCGGAGGTATCGGCGTTTGTCTGCTCAAACAAACTTTGGGTAAAGTCAAATCTGAAGCTAATTACGCAGTGCTTGTATTCTCTACCGTCTGTTATCTTTTGTAAGCTAGAACTAGATAATTCTAGGTTAATTAAAGATTTCTATAGGAACCGTGATGAATTTTATTTACAAACCAACCGTAAAAAATGTTCAGAATTATAAACTTCCATTAGCTGTAAAGACTGAAAATTAGTATTTTTTACATAAAAGAATTGATCTGGATTATTTAGATTTAGAACAAATCGGAAAATATATATTCTCAATACACGTTTAACTTTGACGATCTATGTTTATACTCCGAAAGAATTCGACTATTAAGCACGTACAGATAACCAGGATCAGCGACGGCAGATCAAAGTATGCATTTGTGTTAAGAGGAAATGAAATTCGATTGATTTTGTCTCCTCAACACAGAGGAGAAGACTCATAATTAATGAACCTGCAATAGGGCACCACAGTCCGAATATTATTTTGGGTGACTAGCGGTCTCTAAGAAAATTATTTTACTATTATCAAGTATAGGCGGGCGCGACATTATTGTAATCATATATTTTCGACAAAATGGCGTGAACCGGTCGAGGGTTATTTCGACAGAACTTACCTCGCCCTTGACGTACAATGAACATACAATTTGATTTTGCGAATTTTATTTTTTTAAGTTAAAAATAAAATAAATATGTTATGTTAAATTTAAAGAAGCGTGCTACAAGCTGATTTCAAATGGTTTTTTTGCGATGGCGTGATCAACACTTTTACAAGAACATGTATATCAATTTCGATACGTGCTTTTTGGAAAATGAAATGATCCATTCATGACTTAATCATAAAATAAATTTAGTCATTAATTTTTTTTTTTTTGTATACACAATTGTAAACAATATGAATCCAATGATAATAATAAAATAAATATATTTTCATTAAAAATGTACCATTTATTTTTTGCAAAATTTCAAAGCATTCGGTTTTGCAGATTCAAAATTAAATTGCAAAATTCTGTTACACACAGATTCATAAACTACACGTATGGGCTATTTTATTTTATTGAATTTAAGAACCATTTACTATGTACAATTTTGAGATGAGGTCATCACATTGTAGGTGGGGATGATTATAGACCAAGTTTGGTTATCGTTTTACCATGATATTTATAATGAACATATAAAATTTGACAATAATCGATACAGTAGTTTCGAAAATTACCTGTCTAACAAAAATTGACACAAACGACGAACAAATAGACAGACGGAAACCGGAAACCTATGATTTTGTACTCTAGGAGTCATGACCAATCGAGAAAATGTAAAAGTAGCCATTCGCCCGATGGACTCGGTTACAATACTTCCTTAGCTTACGCTCGGGAAGAAAAAAATTGGAAATGGACAGGAATCGAATTCAAGAAAAATTAAACAATAAAAATGTCAATAATAATAAACAATTTCACGGTGAATTCATAAACCATAAGTACAGGAATCAGGAGTACATTATTTTATAAAATTTAAATATCCTTTACTGTTGAGCTGACGCCATGTTGGAGTGGATGATTAGACAAATTTTGGTTATCGTTTTCCCATTTACATATAAAAAGATCCTCTTCCTTAGCATATGTTCGGGAAGTAAAAATAGACACGTTATTATTTCCTAATATATACCCTACCTGCGGCTTCTTCCACTAGTTTTTTCTCTATTGGCTATAACGAAAACACAAATATTTTGAAAACTCTCAACCATGGCCAAAAATTTACCAGACTAACTGCTTTTCTCAATTTTACACAGTCTACGATTATCCTACGCTCATTTTCATAAATATGTTGGGTGACAATAACCTTGAATTTTAAAATAATAAACTCGACTTTTCATTTGGACCATTTATAGGGTTTTTATAAATGATTCTAAGGGTGTAGTTGGACAAGGATTTCATGATGACAGTTCCCTCTTGTCATTAATGTCACTTGGAACCTTTCATTTAAAGTCATCGTTTCTATTGTTTTAACGTTTTTCAAGTGTGAATTACAGTAATTCTCGTTACTGGTCAGAAGTTCACATTAGAAATATAATCAACAGATTTGTTCGAACTGGAAGTGTCGACAAAGGGAAATCTCCTGGAAGACCTTCTGTATCTGAGGAAGTTGTTGATGATTTGAGCCGACTTGGGCAGAATCCGCAAACATTTTTGACAAGATTTCCTCAGCAATCAGGAGAACCCGATGCAACATGAAATTGAACAATGGGCCCAAAGCATTGACGAAAGGATTTTACACAACATTTTTGAAATTAAAAAGAGAGTGAGCTGAACAAAATGATGAACATTTGCGATATTTACTGTGATCTTTAACCGCAATAAATATGTTCAATGAATTAGTTTTATTTTGTAATAAGATATGAAGCCGTCAGACAATTGTTATACAGATGCGTGTGGTATTTATCGTGAGTCTTTGGGCATTTTGTAAAGTCCAAAACTGAGAAGCGGCACGTTGCCATGACCTACTTCGACCCTATAATCATTTATAGAAACCCTGTATTTTACAGTGAACCCGTTAAAATGAAAGTGTGTCCAAAATTGTCGTTTTGACTTTGCTCTTTGATAAATGAAACCTAATTTCACGTGATTTGTTTCTTCGTAAGTGAAACTGACACTGTGAAAATGATTTTTACGAACTTTTATCAAACTCTTTCATCGAAACTCGCCCATTATTGTTGGAAAAATTACCCTGACTGTTGGTGTAAAAAATCAAAATTAACATGGTTGAATTTAAGAGTACGCAATTTATGACGAAATTTTTCACTTCAAATCTTACGATAACGTATTATTTGAAGATTCGTTATCTCATCTGTCGTGAATAGCAAACAGGGTGTAATAAACCATGATTTAATTTTATAATAGATAAAACATCGCTTCAGCACAGAAGAGACCGCTGTTTAACAACACTATACCGTGGTAAAATAAAAATACAGTTAATAAACAATTTCTGGGACTATAAAAATTACTATGCGAGTATTTTGGCAACTGAAGAATTTGCAAAATTCTCTTCTATAATCACATTAAATTACATAACAACAAAAAACAAATAATAATCTGCATAAGTATCTCGTAAAGATTAGGTTTTATCGATGTTTATACAATATTATAAATAATCTACAAGGTTAAAAATAGTTAAAGTTTGACATCGAAACAGTGCACAGAATAAATAATAATGCGGTTCGTCCAATTCCTGCTAAATAAAGCCGTCACCTCCCTCAGGCTTGGAATCCTCAAAAATGACGTAATAATCGACTGCACTCAAGAGGGCTTATCTGGTTCTCTCGTGGATCTACTCAACCAAGAAAACGGCTTCGAAAGTCTCATGAGGTAACACAGCAGCTTCAACTAATCCAACCCAACCAAAATAATAATACAAAAGTGCTGCCTCGAAAGCTACAACCAGCTACCCTCTAGCCGACGTGAAACTCCTAGCACCTGTTTCTAAACCCGACAAAGTTCTCTGCGTCGGAATGAACTACAAGGAACACTGCGACGAGCTCAAAATCCCCCGTCGGATCCAGCCTATTATTTTTAGTAAATTCGCGTCAACCATCATCGGCCCTTTCGATAATATCGTCAGACCGACTTGCAGCGAGGTGAGTTTTATTGAGATGTCAAGATTTCCAGCCCGATTAAAGCATTCAATCAATCGTTGTCACACTTTAAACGGAATAAATCACAGGCACTCGATTGGGAAGTGGAACTTGTCGTTGTCATCGGGAAAAAAGCCAAACAAGTTCAACTGGAAAATGCATTCGATTATGTTTTGGGGTACATGGTTGGACAGGATTTGACGGCTAGGGACTTGGTGACGCCGGATTTCAACGGCGGGCAATATTTGTTGGGTAGGTGGTATTGAAGCGCCCCGCAGAGGTTTATTTACGATCCTTTTCTGAGGTGGGTATTTTTATACACGAGATTCCTTTTCATCTACGATTGATCCTTCATTTCCTTAAATTATAGATAATTTCCTGTTGACTTCCTACTTTGACTTCATTTAGTTAATGCCCCAGTGGACTTCTAGTAAGTTCTCAGCTCCCAGATGTTTACTTAACTTTCTCTAATTTCCTTTGTTAGAACTTTTATGTAGCTTAGACATCGATTATTATTCGATTATTCTGTTTCATTATTTGAAATAAAAGTGTGATGTAAAGTACCATCACACCTTGTAACTTGGTGTGCGATGTACATTTTTTTTTCTTGTTGATAGATCCAAGTATTTTATCTGAACGCATTGATCAAATTCTTTTAAAATATCTATATTTAGGAACACGTCTACTTGTTCCGGAAATAAGCACCACTTTTCTGTTTAATTTTAATTTTTTATTTGTTTAACGATGTTAGTCTGTGTAGTGTAATAATAGTAGGGAGAATTATAAGACAGGGTGTTTAATGAGTAGGCTTCGGATTTTAGGTTGTTAAAAAATGAATAAAAGGAGACATTTTTAGGTCCCAAAATTGACGAATTAGGTTATAAAAAGCATACATCAAAAAATATATATATTAAAAAAAACATTAAACAAAACATTATAAATGCCTTCCTGTATATTTATGCATAAAATTTTTAAACTCAGGACAACTAACTCCACGGAATATTTGCTGCGGTCCATAAATCGGTGCAAAATTGCGTAAAATCATTGTCGTAACTAATGTTTAATAGAGTGTGCATCGCCAATGCCGTGTTGTTCAAAGTGTAATTTTTTTTCGCACTGAAATTAGGAAACAAAAATGTGAACATAATTCAAGCTTCAGTATTTTATACTTTGCAGAATAACTCATTGTCTTTGGTTGAAGAAGGAAATAGAAAATTAATGTCCAAATTATTCCCTAACCATGATTTGTATGTATATAATGTAAATGGTAAAATATTATCCACAATTGATCTGCTTATCTCCACTAAGAATTTAATGGTGTTACCTCAAAATTTTGGATGTCAAATATCATTTAAATTTGATGAGATAACCTACTTCTGCATTTGTGGTTTATAAATCCGCCTTGATTTTTTTGTCTTAGCCATCCAGATTTTCTCAAAAATAGAAAATTTGTATAACAATGTTTTCAATTTAACTTAAGTGCAAAACTGAACGCTTTGAAATCTTGCAAACGATTTAAACTTATCGTAACGCTTTTATCTTTTTTCGAATCGCTATACAGGGTGACTAAAAAATCATGAATGATACAGTATTGTTGGACTGTAATTCAAGCGCGAAGGAAGTTCTATCTAAATAACGTTAGACCAACTTTTTACAAATTTTGAAATTGCACTAATAACATGATTTTACGAATTATAGAGTAACGTTTTATCAGTTATTACAAAACTGCTTTTTCTACAAAATTTGAGGAACAAAAGGCAAAAAATATAAAAAAAGATAAGATCACATAGGGCAATAAAAAACAGGATTAAATAGAGTCCTGGATTTTTGAAAAGTTGTCTTTGAGTGTTATGTTTTCCACTCAAATTGTCAAACTGGCGATACTTTGACCAGGGGAAAATTCCATCAGACAAATTTTTCAAAATCCAACGTTGTGTTTGATTATGTTTTAATTGCCTTCTCGGTATATGCTGTTGTCATTTCTAACAACTAGTAGAAAGTTTTAGATAAGCACACCTCCTTCAAGACTTTCTCAAAACTAAGATTATCTAAATTTTTAAGATAACTAATCAGTTGTGTAGAAAATTATTCAATAATACTCTGACGCATTTTTAGAATTTTTTCAGTATCAATTTCCTCAAACAGAAATTGTCATTATGACGTGAATTATAGACAAATACATGACTCTGCAGCTCATAATCAATCTTACACAGTTACTGTCGTGGATTTCTCGTTTTTTTTCGTGCCATTTTAGTTCTCGATGACATCATTCAATCTGAACAACTTCGTTTCGTGTTACCTTGACGATTTTTTCCGGGAACGAATTTCATCTCGATCATGATTCTAATCACAAGGTTCAATGAAATTTCAGATAATGTTAGAAATAAGGTAAAAGGTTAAATTTATCTGTCGCAATTAGTGGTCTAGACATATTTACACTCTTCTTTACTGAATTGGACTGAAAGTTATAAACATTTCAAATTTTCCAAATAGAGCTAAACTAACTACTTATTAGAACTCTTGATGCCTCGGACTGATTTTCTATCGAGGTTGCCTTAAGCATTTCCACTGAGATGCGCTTTGAAGTTTTCCTGGACAAACTAGTAAGATGTTGTGATAAAATTGATCGATCTCAGGTCCGTCAGCTTTCTTAGAGTGCAGCCAATGTTCTCTTATTCCAGCAATGGAATCGTTGCCTTCATTTAATATAACTTCAAGCTGGTTCATTCCAGATCTGATTAACTGGATATTGGATATTTAAGATTAAAATATTCAGGCTTGTCGGTAATTTTCTACACTCGAGGTGTCAACTTCGTCGCTTTGTGGAAAAACCTGTTGATGCAGGTGCACACTTCAGGGTTCGTTGCTCTCCCTAGTTCAGTATGAGATTACTCATCTGGATAGAATTTTGATCCTAGTTTCTCACAATAAAGATCGAATCATTTTTGTTGTAGATTGTATCAGGATGCAATTTGTAAACGTGTGAGTAAGCTTTTCTAGATACAATTTTTTTAGATTATTCCTTCTTGAATAAGTTTAACTGTTCTTAAGACTTAGAGCTTTTCTATTTAAATTACTCACTTTTGTTTTAACATCGGTCATCGATTTTTCTTGTTTTCCTCGTCGGTCTGATAGTTTTGTGCAAAAGTCGTGGTTTTTAGGTTATTGAAGGTTGTTCTTCAAGGTGATTTGTCCATTCAGAAATCTAATTTTGCCATGTAATTCATCGATTAGTGCGTCCCTTTATTTAATAATGTAATTGAGGAAACGTACGTGTATCTATAATACTGATACATGATTGTTCACTGTGAGTATCCTAGAACTCGGCCTCGGTCCCTTCAGACAAAGGAACGTGGTCTTTATATTGCAACTGTGTTCGTCCACAAAAAATTTTGCGTCTGTTAACTCCTTTGTGTTTTATTCCATTGACTTTTAAAATTTTAAACACAGTGGTTCTACTACCTACCTTTAAATTCCAATAGTCTGTTAATTGTAAAATTCGATCCTTGATCTGTAGACCTGTAAAGTTTTATACAGGGTTTCTATGAATGATTATAGTCGAAGTAAGTCATGGGACCGTGTCGCCTATCACTTTATGCGAATTTTACTAAATGTCCAAGGACTAACGACATAACAATGAGTGTCTTGTTCAACCGAATAAACCACTTTCACGGTCTTCGCTTCCTAGCACAAAAATAAAATGTTCGTATGCAAACACCAAGAGTTTTAAAAACGACTGTTTTATTGTTTTGGGTTGGATCAACGAGAATTACTGTAATTCACACTTGAAAAACGTTGGAACAATAAAACCAATGACTTTAAATGACAGGGTACAAATGACATTAATGACAAGTGAGAACTCTCATAATGAGGCATAATTTCAGCGAAGCGGGATTTTTGAAATCCGAGACCTCTACGCCCTTAGAATCATTTATAAAAACCCTGCATAAATAACAAATATTACTTATGAGATATACTTACGTTAAATATTTTAATTAGTAATGAATTTATGATGATATCATTTATATAATAAAAAATAAATCTAGTAGAAGTCAGTTTGAATGTAGATAAGTTCTATAGACACCCATCCCACTCTTTTTCGTGTTACAATCCCGAAACTTTTCATGTCAGATACATTCAATCTAAGCGGGATTATGAATCCCCTTCCGTAAAGTGTTATAAATACATTTTTGTTAATAATGTTGTAATGAATTACTTGAACAAGGTATCTCAAATACAAAACAGGCGGGGAGAAAGCGGTTGGGAACGAAAATGGTTGCAGGCGAAACGAGGCTAAGGAGGAAACGATAGGGGACGTAAGCGCAGGAGATGAAAGGGATGGGAACCGATCAGTCCAGACGAAACATCCACGTCTATACCTAACACATCTTGACATCAAGCCACTTAACTTTTTTGTCATAGAACTGAACTTTAAAGTTTTACATTGTTTTTTATTGGCGGTTCATTTCGCTCAATAACTTTTATTGTATTTAAGTTAAATGAAAATCAAAGAGTTTCGTTGAGGAAACAGGTTAATTTTCAACAGTACTAGATATTTAATTATGAACATTTCAAATGATTACGACCCTCTTGTCTTTTACATGAGCGAGATATTGGTTTAATGAAACACGACGCCAATATTGTATACATATTTTTGTAAAGTGACTCTGATTAAAAATCAGGGCAGATTCATAAATCGCGTGTGTAGGTGTATATTATTTCATAAAATTTAAATTATTGATCCAGTAGTTTTAGTCTAATAAAGATCGAGGTAGACGGCAGTCAGATGACGGAAGATAGGAGCACGAAAAGGAAAGATTTTCATGAAAAGTGGAAATACGCTATCAAGTGAATTGTATTTTAATTCACTAATGTCTCTTAAAAACAAGGCCGAATCTAATCATCTAATTGTAGGAGAGCTGGAAAAATTTCCGGTGATGATGCAGTCCCTTAAAAACAAAATTCAATAAATTGCTTCTCGTTTTTACCAAACCTGTTGAATAATTCAATCTGAACTTTAATAAGTATGTAATGATTGTTGAGAGAAGTATATTTTTTTAAGCTTAAAATGTATTTTTTCTGGTTTCCGATTTAATTTTTGCTCGCTTTGACTTCCTTTTTAACTTTACCTGATTTCTTACGGGTATATGTTAATTTTCTTTACCATTTTCTCCTCATTCTGCTGTTTCACAGGAAAAACGATGGATACATTCTGTCCAGTGGGACCTTGCATCGTCACCAAGGACGAGATTCCTGACCCCCATAATTTGAAGTTGAAAACTTGGGTGAACGGTGTTTTGAAGCAGGATGGTACCACCTCCCAAATGGTTCACAAGATTGACAAATTGATAGCACACTTATCTAAGTAAGATATCTTTTTACAAATCTACAAGTTAGCGTAAGGAGAAAAACACTAGTAGAACATAAAATTAGGTACTTATGAGTACAATAATAGTTTACGAGAGGTTTAAAATTATCAGATGGAATTTTTTCAAACTAAAATCAATATCGCGAATTTTCGTCATTTCAGCTACATGATCCTGTATCCAGGTGACATCATCATGACGGGCACTCCAAGTGGCGTAGGATTTTTCCGGACTCCACGTGAGGCCTTGAAGGCTGGTGATTTAGTGGAGAGCGAAATTGAAAACGTCGGAAAATTGTCGAATCGTGTTATCTGACCTCAATAAACAAGCTGTTTTTGGCCCATTTCCGTATCATTTACATTTACCCTGGGACCTTATACTAAGGGAAGACCTTACAAAAGAAGGATTCTGTATTCTCCGACTTTATAATAAAACAAGTCGCCCATTGATTAAGCAGTATTATTTGTAAAAAAAAGTTTTAATAGAGCCACAAAAATGCAAATACGACAAAAAATCAAATATTACATTCTTAGATGGTTCAAAAACAATACCTAAATCTAAGGGCCGGTTTATAGAAGCGCGAGTTAAATATTTAATCCTCGATTAATTTAACACTGGATTAAAATGAGGAATGGGAGCTCGTGATTGGTTAAAACCTGCACGTCGCCTAGCAACGAACCTCAATTAAAAGTTAATCGCGAATTAACTTTAACTTCGGTTTCTATAAACCAGGTCTTAATCTTTCAAAGGAGAAGCTGTATTTAACACATTGTATCCCAAATCGTTTAAAACCAAAATCGTTAAAAAATGACGACGAATTATGGTTAAAAACGTGCGCTGTGCGCACGGAATGTTTGCATGAACAGTATAAACAGTATAAAAATTAATTTATCAATCACACATCACGCGACAGATATATATATATAGTGCATGAGTCAGAAAATTCGGGTGTTCTAGATAGTAAACAAAAAAATTCACACAAGGAAATATAAATAAAAGTAATAATAACACTGCACAAAGTTTCAAAAATATTACCCTCCACGTCCTGGTGGTGGTATCGGCACGCTGTACGAGATCAGCCATCTTCTCGACTTGCAGGAGTAGTAGGGATAAGTCCACCACCCTCTGTACGAGACGTTGGGCAGGCTTTCCATGAATTTGGGTGAGCGCAAACCTGGACTGGAGTCTGCATCTTCATACCATGGGTACTCGGTTCCTGGTCTGCGACCTGTCTCCAAATACTCGTCACAGCGTAATTTGTGCGGTTCTCCAACCTCCAGTCCTTGACGTTGCCACCATGCGCAGTTTATTAGAGTACCAGTGGTCGCATTCATGGTTAGTACCCGGGCCGAGAGGACGCTTTGGTCGGAAACCAAGAGGTTCTTGGAGATGGCACCCTGCAAACCTGACATAGAAATACACATTAGACACCTTTTCATTTTTGATCATGTTTTTAAATTTTTACACCAATGGCAATATTTCCTAAAATAGTTACAAGAAAAATGCTTGCTTGTTAAATCCCTCTACATTTTAATTACAATAATTTACACTTTAGAGACGAGGGAACGAAAGAACTATTTTCGTTTAATACCACAGAGAAACAGCTAATAACACTGGTTAAGTGAAGTTTTACACAAATGTAGAGACACCATTTGCTTAATAATCTCAAGAACTCCTACATGTATATGTATGCAAATTAAATGTACAGAACCGTAATGACTGAACTGATTGCGATTGTAGTTGCTGCAACAAGCGTTTGTAAACTAAACTTGAAGTTTGTTGGGTAATTTATAGTTAGAGGATTCATTTAACGCTTGAAGAAAGACTAATGACTTTGATCTTAATCTATTTGACATCGAATTCATAAACAAGAGACGTTTTTAAGTTCACTTGTGTAACAAAAATTGAAAGCTGCTGTAAAATAAATGTTTTATTTGCTGGTTTTAGCAATGTATATTCGTACTTAAATCATAGTGCAATTGTTTAACTGTTTATCAGATAAAACATATCTCTATTTAAACACAAGAATTAACTTGTTTAAGATGCAAAGGTCATTAACCAAGCAAAGTTTTCAACATTTTTAATACGTGGAAAGAGCAAACAAAATTGGAAGTTCTGGAATACAACAAAGAAAAAAGTATTTCTTTAATTTCGTGTTTTTAGAGTCCTGTTAAACCACCGTTTTCAGCTGGAAACAACGTTTTAATAGTTTACTCTCATCGTTTTGTGGGTTGGTATTCCTGACTTCATTTTAAAAAAACTGGACGAAAGTTATTTCGACAGGACTTCCCTCGCCCCCGAAGTGCAACGTCACAAATCCCGCTTCTTTGACATTAATAGGGAGATTGGGCAAATTTTGGTTAGTGTTTTACCATCTACACGATCTTCTTAACATACGTATAAAATACAATGGGTCCGGTAGTTTTAGAGATTATCTGCCTAATAAAAATCTGAACAGACGGTACACAGATTGAACCACGAGACCTAATTTTTCATACCCTATGGGTCATGAAATGCCGAGAAAACATAAAAGTAGTCAGTTTCCCCCCGATAGACCCGATTACAATACTTTCTTTACATACGCTCAGGAAGTAAAAATAGAATTCGCAAAATTAAATTTTATAATTTTTAAAACATACAAAATATTGGCGACGCGTTTCGCCAACCGCCTTGGCATTATCTAGACAAAGCTAAACGATGTATTTGTCCGACTATATTTCAAGGGCGAGGGAAGTTGTATATAAGTAACCCTAGACCACATTTTTGTTCTACATTCAGTGATGTAACACACGTTTGTTTATATACTTATTTGGACGAATTGTTTAAGTCTGGACGCGACGACGACGGTAACTCCGCCGATAAGCAACTAATGTATCACACGTTATTCTTGTAAAGTTTCCGGGAGAGACTTTTTTATGCATTCAGTAATGAATCATACTTTAATTTTGTTTACTACATCCAGTGCATTGATAATGGAAAATATGAATGCGTTGTAAAGCACGTGGATAAACTGCAGTGTAATAATAACAGTTATCTATTCTATTATTGTATTCTCACATCGTGAAATTGGAATGTGTTGTTTCTGATTTGAAGGGAAAAACTAGTTTGGGATAGCCTGCTTCCCGCATGAACGGTTGCGAGAATGCGGAAAGCAGGCTTCACGAACGTGTTATCGACAATGTTTTTGGCAACGAATAGACTAACTATGAGTAATTTATAAAAACGACGTCGACGACGTCGTAAACACTTAGCAATTTGACGTTTCCGGGCTATTTTAAGGCTATCAAGGCAACGGAAAGCAAAAAGCACGTGTGCGGCAAGGACGTCGACGGCACCGTAAACACTTAGCAATTTGACGTTTCTGGGCTATTTTAAGGTTACCATGGCAACGGAAAGCAAAAACTACGTGTGCGGCAAGTTCGACCTCCCGGATCCTGCTGAATGTGCGAAAGGAATCAAAAAAGGTCATGAGTGCAAAAAATATCTAGACGTTTCCGGTAAAAACTCAACACGGTGTCATAAACTACATGTGTAGTACTATGTTACTTTATACAATTTGCCTATTTACTAAGTATATACAATTTTGAAGTGACGTCATCACATTATTGATGATACATGATATTCCTAATATAAATACAAAGTTTGACAACAATCTGCTCAGTACTTCCGGAGATTATTTGTCTAACAAAAATCCGAGACGGCAGACAGACAGACGGACAAACAGACAGACAGACAGACAGACAGACAGACGGAAACGGCCGACCTATTTCTTCGTACTATCGGAGTCATGAAAGGTCGAGAAAACGTAAAAATTCGTTTCCATTGCTTACGCTCAGGAAGAAAAAATATTCAACATATTATTACATACATATCCCATCATTTTAACGGTTCTGAGAAAATGGTAAGAATTTTCGAAGAAAAGAAAAGTAAAAAATTTCGCAATCCAAGGAAATCGAAAAATTAAGTTTTTCTAAATAGTTTCCAAAAAATCCACTAAAAATTTTAGGAGATAGATTTCAATGAGCGTAATTGCTGATGATGTAGGATCAAGATTGGAGGAGAAAGTTTAAAAACCTGAACCAGTCGTGGTACTTTTGTTAAGAGTTGTTCAGCAGGAGTGTAGAAAACGTGGACAAATATAAACTGTAAAAAATCATGGGGCATCGATTAGGAAAAGTTACCTACAATAGATACGACTCCGAATTTTCGAAATATTCGAGTGCAAATTTAATTTTCAAAAATTTTTGGCGATTTTGGAAAAATGGTAGGAAGTTTTGAAAAATTAAACCTTAAGAAACTTTTGGGTGTCGAATTTGAGAAAAGAAATTTTTGCTAATTTTCGATTGTGTCCGGAGAAAAGTTAAGAATTTGGCAACCACAGGATATTGAAAAATTGAGTTTTTCGAAATATTTAGTTGCCGAAAAATCCACAATAAATTCTAGAAGATAGATTTTAACGACAGTAATTGAAAAGTATAACACAATATGGTCCCGGTCCAAGATTAGAGGAGGGAGAACATTGAAAAACCTGGACCAATCACTTTTGTCAAAGAGCTATCCAGCATGACTCTAGAAAAAGTGGACAACTAAAAATTATTTAAAAAATTGTGGGTCCATCTATCAGTAAAAGTTCCCTACAGTCGATACCACTACGAATTCTCGAAATATCCGAGCGCAAATTTAATTTTTAAGAATTTTTCAAAATTTGAAATCAATCATTTTGGTGATTGTGAAAAAATGATAGAAATTTTCAAAAAAATGAAGCCTTGAAAGACTTCTGGAAGTCCAAATTAACCATAAGGAAATTTTTTGCTAATTTAAAAGTAAAAAAGTAGTAGGAAGAGTAACCTACAGTCGATACGACTACGAATTTTTGAAATACTCAAGTGCAAATCTAATTTTTCAAAATTTTTAAAAATCTGAATTCTATCATTTCGGCAATTTTGGAAAAATGGTAGGAATTTTTGAAAAATGTAACCTTGTGAAACTTCTGGGTGTCGAAATTGACAAAAAAAATGTTTTGTTAATTTTCGATGGTGTCCGGAGTAAAATAAAGAATTTTGGGACCCAGAGATATTGAAAAATTGAGTTTTTCCAAATATTTAGTTACCAAAAAATCCACCATTAATTCTAGAATATAGATTTTAACGAAGGCAATTGAAAAATATAACACAATATGGTCCGGGACCAAGACTGGAGGAGATAATTGAAAACCCTAGACCACTCGTAGCACTTTTGTTAAAGAGCTATTCAGCACGACTCTCGAAAAAGTGGACACGTAAAAATTATTTAAAAAACCGTGGGCGCATCTATTAAGAAAAGTAACCTACAGTCGATACGACTACAAATTTTCGAAATATCTGAGGCCATATTCGATTTTAAAAATTTTTGAAAATTTAAAATCCATCGATTTGGCGATTTTAGAAAAATGGTAGGGATTTTCATAAAAATGATGCCTTGAGAAACTTATGGGCGTCGAAAATTGGCAAAGGGAGTTTTTTTTGATAATTTTCGTTGCTGCCCAGGGAAAAGTAAAAAATTTAGCAAGCGCGAAATATTTAAGTGCGTTTTCCAAATAATTTCCAAAAAATTCGCAAAAATTCTGGGAGATCTATTTCAACTAGCTGGATTGAAACATATAGCGTATTGATGATCCCGGTGAAAGATTAGACGCAAAAATCGAAAGTCTTAGACCAATCGTGTCACTTTTATTAAAGGCGAAATCCAACACGATTCAGAAAAACTAGATAGCCCGAAATTATATAAAAAAAAATCTTAGTTGTGTAACCACTAAAATTCTTTGTAAAAATTTCCCCCAAGCACCTCGTTTTACAAACTTGAACCTGTATCATAATATTGGACCTTATAAAACATGCTTTTTAATATACTATTGTATTCTATTACGTTACACAAATTGAATAAAATGTCTTTTTACACAGTTAGACAGAAATCATAACGTTCCAGTGTTTTCAAAAATTTAGGGAAATTAAATATACCTGTCCTAAATACACTTTAATCCTTGCTTTATTTTTTTATTCTGTATAATAACAAGTTGTCATTAAAAAAACAAACACACATTATTAAAACAATCCAGTATTTTTGCCATAGAGTTAATGTATCATTTTTTGTCACCCTATGTATATCGAAAAACCCATTTTTCACATTTTCTACATCTCGAGCCTAAACCAAGGAAGAATTATAGTAGAATCTATTGAATCATTTGAAACAGTTGGATTTCAGGAGCTATAAAACGACAAAAAGAACATGACATTAGACATTTGTCAAGCCAAGAAAGAATTGTAATAAAATCTAATAACCTAATCTCAAGTTTTTTCGACGTTTCATATCTCCCGGAATTTGAAAAAGTGGATCTCCTATTTCCATCTGTCTGCCTGTCATCTTCAATTTTATTACACAGAGAATTACTTTTACTCTTATGCATACGGATTTTAAAAAAATGGTCTAAAGAGTTTAGACAGTACTTCCCTCGCTGTCGGGAACGTGACGACTGCAAGCCCATTATGTCTTTTTTGTATCACATTGTTGTTATTCTTGATTTAATCAACAAAATTAATTGACTCAGTCATTAATTTTTTTCAGACACCCTGTGTAAGCAAATCTAAAAAATATTAATTCTTTACACATTTAAGCATTTTTTCAGCAAAATTTTGCGGTGGCGTCATCAAATTTTTAGGGGGGATGAGCAAATACATTTCGATCAAAATTTTACTATGCCTATGACAACTTTAAAACATCTCCAAGATTTCAAAGCATTCGGTTTTATAGTTCCTGTTTAAATCAATAAAATAAATTCACACTTTCAGTAATTTTTTTGAGTCACCCTGCATATGCAAATCCAAAAAAAAATATGAATGGAATGATAAATTACAACTACAGACTCATCATATTTTGCATATTTAAGGTAGGATTTATTCAGCAAAATTTTGAGGTGACGTCATCAATTTTTTAGGGGGGATTAGCAAATACATTTTGACTAAAAATTTACCTTGCCTATGTTAACTTTAAAACATGTCCAAGATTTCAACGCATTCGGTTTTGTAATTCATGATTAATCAATAAAATAAATTCACACATTAAATTTTTTTTGAGTCACCCTCTATATGCAAATCCAAAAATATGAATGGAATAATAAATCACAACTATAGACTCATCATATTTCGCACATTTAAGATAGGATTTATTCAGCAAAATTTTGAGGTGACGTCATCAATTTTTTAGGGGGGATGAGCAAATACATTTTGACTATAAATTTATCGTGCCTATGACAACTTTAAAATATCTCCAAGATTTCAAAGCATTCGGTTTTGTAGTTCCTAATGAAATCAATAAAATAAATTCACGCATTCATTAATTTTTTTGAGTCACCCTGTATATGCAAATCCAAAAAATATTAATGGAATGATAAATCACAAGTACAGACTCATCATGTTTTGTACATTTTAGATAGGATTTATTCGGCAAACTTTTGAGCTGACGTCATCAATTTTTTGGTGGAGATAAGTAAATATATTTTGCTTAAAAATTTATCGTGCTTATCATAACTGTAAACCATCCGCAAGATTTCAAAGCATTCGGTTTTGCAGATTCAAAATTACATTGCAAAATGTTGTTTCATAATTCAGATTTTTTTCCAAATCGGGTCATAAACCACATGTGTAGGACCAAGTTATTTTATATAATTTAAAGCCCATTTACTATGTACAATTTTGAATTGACGTCATCGCATTAGTGGTGGGGATGATTAGACAAGTTTTGGTTAGCGCTTTACCATCTACACGACATTCCTAATACAAATACAAAATTTCGCAACAATCGGTCCAGTACTTTCGGAGATTATCTGTCTAATAAAAATCCGGGAAGGCAGACAGACGGACAGACGGACAGACAGATGGAAACGGGAGACCTATTTCTTCGTCCTCTAGGGGTCATGAAAGGCCGAGAAAACGTAAAAGTAGGGAGTCGGCCGGCGGAGTCGATTACAATACTTCCTTTGCTTACGCTCGGGAAGTAAAAAACGAATTTAAACAAGAAAATATTGGAGTTTCTCTGAAAGAGATGTATACCTGAATCTTTAAACAGGCATTCTAAATGTAATACATGTCTCCTGAAAAATATAAATAAATGCCTAAAAATTTAAAATAATTTTATATTTTTTTATGTTACTTAAGTACTTGGCCCAGTTTCCCCTCAGTGTCCAAGCAATATGAAAAAAATTGATAAACTGTTATTTGTGAAATAACAAAGTTAAAAATATCTTATCTGAACCGGCCAAAGTCCTGACATCATCGATATATTTTTTTAAAGAATTCCTATGTTTTCAGAATATTTTTTAAACAATTGAAAAATGTTAAAAAAACAACTTAGATAATCAAATGTGAAATTAACAATTTTTTTTTAAAGTGTCACTTTCTACATTTCTTGTTGACGGCTTTTAAATATGTTTCTTCTAAATTTCCCGAACATAAAACATACTTTATACATCTAGACATATCGTACTTCTAATAGTAACATTTAATAATCAAAAGTGATGGGACAGTGGGAGATAAAATGTGAAAATAATAATGATCTTAATAAAAAAAAAATTTTGATTAAGAAACAACAAACTTCTTTAAGAAAAAATCTAATCCAAACGTAGTGAATATTGCACATCTGTAACTTTTATAGAGTTCTATAAATTAAACCATTGTTCATATATTGCTTATTATTAGTTATGGTATCAATAAAACCTATTATTATTAAACATGTTTTGTTTTTTAAAAAAATCTGTGACGGCAACACTGCATAAAACAGTAAAGTTATGAAGACCTTGATTTTGTTGTCTCCAGTTATAAATATACAAAATTGTCGTGTCAGACATCGTACAAAGTTATCTATTACCTGTTGGTATCTAACCATCACAAATAAGCATGAGTTTGTAAAACACAGTTGTTTTTGTTGAAAACAACGATTCAACGTAAACCTTAAATAAGGACCAGTGGCATTAATGTGGTAAATCAATCAAGAAAAATTAATTATGTGTAGTTAATCCAAACTTAGACATTTATTAGTTACTCTATTACGTGTATAGTTGATGTCCTTTTTCTAAATGCGGAAGGTATTTTTTAAATACACCAATCTCACAAAAAATTCCTGGACTTTCATTATCTATTTATATTTACTAAGAAAAATATTTTAAGACGGTGTTACCTAGCATGAGATGTAGCAATTAGCGGCTATAAAAAGAAAAAAATATATATAATGGATTGACTTAATCTTGTAAGTGAATCACAATGAAATGTCTCTACTAAACGCAAAAATGTAGCAATTAGAGAAAATTTAAACGAAAAAGAGTCAGTGATCAGATTTAGAGTATTTTAACCTAAATGACTCAAACAATAGTATTTTTTTAGATAAATACAGATACTGTCAACGTGATATACGTATTTAAAAATGACACAATAGACACTACAGCTGATAAAATATTCCAAAACCAATCAACATCTGCTGCTGAGTGCAAAACAGTCCCTGCAATATACGTCATAAACTAAACGCAGCAATTCAGATGATAACAGACCGAAAAAATATAATTGGAGGACCTAACTACTGACTAGATCAAAAATTCGATAGACTGCTGATGAGTAGAACAGTTACTAGATAAGTTTATCAACTCTTATCTACCTGTTTGTGTTACTGTTGTTCTCTCAGACAGTTATTTCGTGATATGCCGTAATAAAGTGAGGTACGCCTAAAAGTGTAATGATGTTCGTCGTCAAATATTTCCTTTGATTCTCGATCAGGGCACATTTAGGTGAGTATTTTTAGACTAATAATGAATAATTAAACGTTAATTAAGCGCACAGAGGTAGTGACAAATCGATAATTTATTTCGGGGATTGCGGTTACCCTTTATTAATTATGCTACAAAAATGTACGCTTAAATCATACACTAGTGAGACCCGTTTTTCTGTTTTCGGTGCCAAGATACGTCATTTGTGTCCTTAAAAATACATATCCATTAGCAGAAGTGGTTAGAGATAAAAACCTATAAATTGTGACTCTGACGGTTAATCCTGATGCTGTAAATATTTTTTAATTGTTCAGGATTAGATCTCGGTTATAGCAAAATTCTTATAACAATGACAGAGCATTCCATTGTGATGATAATAAAGTATTTTGTTTATCAAAAAATTATCTGCTTGTCAAGCTTGTACAAGTTTTTAATAGTAAGTGCTTTAGACAACACGATACGCGTTGGGGGCTTCAGGGGTCCTTCAGATCGCATAGTTTGATTTAATTTATTGTGTTGGTGATAAAATTCTAAAAAAAAACATTACGTGTTTGCCAAAAAATTGTATCCGCGTGGCGTCAAAAACGTTGTGATTTAGAGATTTGACTAGAGCTTTGACTCTAGGGTGCTATTATTAACCCGTGTTAGTTGAAATTTGTTCGTTCGCAGTAACTGATAATTGTAGAAAGATTAGAATTAAATTGGATTTTAGTCCACGTGTTTATGAATTCTATCTTGCTAAATTAATGTTATTAAATAGGTCATTTTGAAATCAGTATTGCCGACTCTAGGCGACGTAATGAGTTTCGATCGCATGTACACTTTGAAGTCTAAATATCAAACATTAGACGTCACATAAACATTAGAAAATTATGTGATAAGTGTGCATGCACCTTTGCCGCCAATCGTCTATGACTCACTAAATTATTATCGTTATACCACAGGAAGTAAAGCTTATCTCCGACACAGTTTTAACCACATAACCTCATTGTTAGAGAAGACTTGATCTACAACGATTCGATCAAAATCTCCAGATGAAAAGAATTAAACCTTTAAATAGCAGTTAATTAGTACCTTGATCTTAGCGGACTTTATCTTGATGATGTTTTTTAATTTTACATCTAATACATGGATTTATAAGTACTATTATCTGTTTTCATCATGAAAACATACAATAAAAATCCGTGTTCTTTTGTTTCAAACAGAGGATCAAAGGATTGTAATATAGCGACAATTTTGTTTCAATAATACCGCCTTCAAACAGTATTCTTCTTTTAAACCGGTTTTCTGGAACCGTATTTTATCAGTGACGTAATTAAATAGATATGGTTAAATATGTAGGCCGAGTAGTATTAATTAAAGCAGACATTTTTCATTTGGTGACGTTTCGCTTGTTAAAAACAAGGTTATAAACAGACAGCTTTATTTTTTGCTTTAATGTAAACTTTTACTTTTTTTAACAAAGATAGAATGTTAGCGAAAATTCAACTTTTGAAAATAATAATAAAAATGGTAAGACTATATTAATGTTAGGGTTCAATTTTATACCTCGTAATATTCAACGATTGTTTAGAAATTGTTTTTCAAAGTCGCGGACAAGAAATAATCTAAAGGCATCAAATCAGGTGATCGAGGTGTATAGATATAGTTTGTGTGGGAGCTAATTAAACGGTCGTTGTAAAATTCCCTTAGAATGTTCAAACTTGTTTTAATGAGCTATTGCCCCATCTTGCTGAAAATATTCATTCTGCAATTTTTCATGATCCAGCTTTCCAAAACCGGATCACTTGCTGTTTGTTACGGAAATAAGTCTCAAGCATGAATTCTTTAGCAAAATACTTTTTTCGAGATGAAAATTCTACTTCTGTACCAAAAAAAAAAACACTCGGATAGTTTTTATTCACTCTCAAATAAAGATGTAGCGAAGCGAATTTTTTTTTGGGCTGGTTTTTTATGTAATGTGCAATGTGCTATGATCTTTGTCAAATTAAACTGACATTTGGTAACAAAAATCTATCAATTTTTTTTATGTTAACAAATATAGCGTCGAAGCTCTCCAGAGTTCATGAAATCCATAACCCCGTAACTTTTTTTCTATAAACTCTCAACGATGTGTATTTTTGTTTTCTAAATAAATGATTTGCAAACAAACGTTTTTTGGGAATAAATTTTTTAATATATATATTCGTCGACTTCGTAAAGTCAACAATTTTTATAATACTAAATAAATTTAAAGTCACCTGTTTGATACGCCTATTCGTTTCTGCCTGTCTGAGAACGTTTGTTTAATTTATTTTAATATACAACAAAAATATTATTAATACTTGTTTTACTCGAATAAAACATCGTCGGAAAACAGTAAGATCGAGAACTGAATTAGTTTTTTTAATCTTTTTTAAACTCCGTGCTACTCCTTTGAGTAATGACTTTTTGTTATTTCAATTTTAACTTTTTATTCTATTTAGTAAATATTTCTAAAATGTTATAAAACACTGTCAGTCACCTTCGATTTTCTCTTTGTAATGCTTTTATTTTTTTCCTATTGTTGAAATGATATTAAACAGTGGCATAAATTAAATTTAATGACCTGGCGCCTAGTTGTGGCCCAGTTCACACTAATCAATAATAATGATTTTATCACACTCCAGTAGCGTATCAATAACTACTTACTTTCTACTCTTGTTGTTCAAGTTCCCTACGGTTTATATCGGATTATGCGGCTCAAGATTCTCGCTACTTTGCAAATTATCAATTTTCACAACATCAAAACAGTAATATTATGCGTGTATCTAAACTAAGTTTACTTGAACCAAACGTAAACCTGACTTGCTTTGATAAATCCACGTTCTATTATATTAATTAGGAATGTTAAACGCTTAAATTAGTCCAATAAATCAAGGTTGGAGAACCTACATAATATTAATTTTGGTGCTTTAATCTAGGGTATTCTGAATTAGCTAAAGGTCAGCCTGTAAAAATAAATGAGATCTAATACCAGATAAGAATAATGGCACACAAAGAGATTTTTCATTGTGTGGTCGATTAAAGCCTTCAATCTTAAATCTCCTTGTAGTCGGTAAACATTTTGTTTGTTGTGATTTATCTTCTTGCTTCTTTTTAGTTGTACTTAAGTATGTGCTTGAGATATTTGTTTCTCATAGATTTCACTTGTTACCACATTATCTTTTCCATTTGTATTGATGGCTTTTACTATCAGAGTTAATAGCAAAAATGTGCTTCCGGGATTTATCTTCACGTCGCTTCTATTAGGAATTATAATAAAATTTATTATCACTTTCATAAACAGACAAATTTAAAACCTTTGAAATTACCTATTGTTGTTATACTAAGGCAAATTTAATTCTCTGTGTTATCTTCCGTTGACACCTGCACGTGTATATTTATCTAGCTTATTTTGGAAAACATACTTAGTCGTGAAAATGGTGAAAATATTTAACATAGTATAAACTTATGACACACAAAATCGTACATCAGAGGAATGTAACTGCGCAATAATAAAGATAGTGTTGTCGCAATCTATTATCTCATCTTACAATTATTAGAACAAAAGATGTAAGATATAATGATTACCGGGTCAAAATTGTTACACTATTATTATCATATTTTTTGATGACTGAGATAGTTATCACTTAACATTTTACAACTCGTAGTTGATATTTTGATAAGTTCATAATTTGCGTGCGTCTCCGATGACAACAATCGCTGATTGCTTAAAATTTTAACTTTTAATTTTATGTATTATATTCAAAGATACCATTTATCTGCAATTTCCTCAATTTTTTAGATCTATTAGATCTTCCTCTAAAGACGTCTAAAAGCGTTCTCTATATATAGAGCTGAATTTGATAAACAAAATTTGACATTTTTCCTATCATATCCACTCCGAGTACGATCTACATTTTCCAAGGAAATAGTTGAAGAGAAATCTGTTTGATTTTGAAGCAGACGGTTTAAGAAGAGTTATATCATCACACTGAAAAATTTCCCTTCAATGTCGGGGATAAATTTTCCACAACGAAAGTTGACCTGATCATGAAGAATAATATTCTTTCTGCTCTTAAGTTTTCCCTGTTTCTCCATTTCTTTATTTCTCTGTTTATCACAGTTTTATTGCAAATGTTATAAAATAACACCAAAACTGCAGGATAAAAAAATATATAGGTAGACGATCCTGATTAATTAACAATAATTAATGATTTTTATTCTATTGTTGTAGCAACAGACAACGGAGTTTGTAGTTATTGATGCTTTCTAAGATAATCCTTTATATGTAGTTTATAAATACCCGTTGAAGTTTTAGTGCAGATTTTGAAGAAAAATTCAAAATTGTATTTCACAATTTAATTTTAAAATTACAAAAGCAAATGCTCTGAAATCTTGCAAATGTTTTAAGGTTACAGGAAACATGATAAATCGTTAATCAATTCTCCAATTTCATTCTGCCGAATAAAGAAAACACTTCAAAAGTGACGTTTCTGAAGAATTTTAACAGTTTTCTTGTATCTACGAACGCCAGAATGCATAAAATTGACCTAAACGTCTCCTTTTCCAATGTTCTTTAAATTTATAAAATAACATGCTCCTGCATGTGTGATTTATGAATCCGTGTTGAGTTCCTATCCTTGATATCCAGATTTTTGGGAAAAAAATTAAAATTATATAACAGTATTAAAATACACTGACCGGCAGAAAAAACCGGCCACCCTGAAAAATTTCGCAAAACCACTTTAAAAATTATTAATTTAACTAGTGATCGTTATTTTATTAAAGAAGCATTCATTACATATTGACACTTGATGTACAAATTAGCAAAAAAAAAGAAGACAAATAAACGCAGAATTAAATTTTATTTAAGAAAATAACAGAAACAGACCAAGTACGATATTTTCTTTAGTAAAACAATAAAGGAGACTGTTATTGTAAACAGTGTTTTTCATCATTTAATTATATTATAAGTTTGGCAGTTAATAAACGTTTTCATGCGAAAACAATGCTGTTAACTCTTACAGACGTCTCACAAATTGTCGCTCTGTTTCTGTTATTTTGTTAAATTAAATTTAAGTGAATGGTTCTTTAATAAAATAACGATCATTAGTTAAATTAATAATTTTTAAGTTTGGTTTTACGAAATTTTTCAGGGTGGTCGGTTTTTTTTTGCCGGTCAGTGTATTTAAAAGTTATTTTAACCGTAGTAAAGCGTTAATCAAAATTTGTCCGTCATCTTACAGTTTTACCTAATAAATGTTCTTCAGATTTATGAGTGTTTTGTGAGAAAAACTGAGTGAGATTAATTAATTAAGCAGTTCTTTCCTCTGTATTGATCAAATTTCATTTTCTTTTAACGCTTCTGCTTATAATTTGAACGTGCCAATAGTCGAATTTTTTCGAAGTGTAATAAACAAACAGTAAAAGTGTCAAAGTTAAGCATGCGCTGAGAAATTGAGAAGAACTACATTTTTCCCGTTGGTTATCTGTTTTAACTATATTTCATATTGTCCACACTTGTGTGGACTATACTTCAAGGGCGAGGGACCATTTTTTTTAACAACAATTTACGATTTGTAGAATACACATCTTCCATTATATTTTAAAAAATAAGAGAGAAAATATACAAAAAAAATTAATACAAGTAACTTATATTTAAAACAGTGTTTTAGGCATAAACATTATCCTACCATGTGTACTACTGTACCATATCGTCAATAAATTATTTACAGTCCCAGTTGTTTACTAAAGTCATATATGGATTTACCTTCTAAACAAAGAAACAAAAAGAATAACAATACACATAAATAATGTGGTAGAACGTAATGAAGAGTTTGTATATTATTAGGTACAGTCAAAGCATACATTTCCATTACTAACAAATTTATTAAACACAAAAATTATACAACAAGAAATGCCGGTTTTCTTGTCTTGGCAAAGTTTTTGTAGGTTTCACTTCCGCCTTTAACATAAGATATTTTTCCAAATTTATACCAAAGCTGTTAGTTTTTTTGCGAAATCTTTTCAGTGCATTGTTAAAACTTCGTTTTCACTACGTTTGTGTCGATTGTAGGTAAATTACATTAAGCATTTAATGCTACACAACACACAACAACAATAAGTAATAAATGTCGTTAAAACATCTGTAGAATGTGAGATTATGTCACCATGTGTTCTTTGATATTGCACATTTCGACTGAGCAGGAATCGTCAATATATATATATCGACTAGTAAAAGTTTACATATTGTCCATTCTGAAGACATTTACTAAGCAAATTAAGTCAATGCATACATTGACCGAATGACCACTTTGACTGTTGCACATACAATTGTTTCGATATAATGAAACGCCATTTAACAAAAATAAACGAAGTGTAAATAGTTCTAGACATTATAATAAGTCATCGTTCAGATGTTGTTTTTAAAGTATCATTATCGCAAGAGAAGTGCGTACATGTTTTAATTATAATAATGACATCAGATTACTTGAAATTTATCACAAATTAATCTGAAGCATTTTAAAATTACCTGATAATTATAACAAACAAATAGTAAGGCCGAAGTAGATTTATTTATAAGCGCTGTAATCTGTACCGTATAAGAAGTTAGAAACACTATCTCCTTTATTAGTTACATCTAGACTTTTGTGTGTATGTTGTAAAATTTTATAAAAATAGGACTGTACAAGTACACAGAGTTGTTTTAGATTTATACTTGTAGAAATAATGACAACATTTATATGTGTATGAAAATAATAAACAGGTGCACCTTATTTACACTGCAAAACCATTCAGTTTTACCTTGAAACCGACCACACACACTAGGTAATCGAAGATAATTAGCTTTTAAAAAACGTTTAAAACAACCTTCTGCAAACATTTTAATTATTCTAATGTTCATTTTCAGATAATGAAACCACCTATACCCATCCCTGTGCTAAAAGATCTACGGTGTGGACATTGTCGAAAATTTGTAACCTGCGGCCCTGTTCACGTCACCCCCGACAGCAGCATACTATGTGGTCGTTGTGCCCGTTTCGCCAAACGTAGCTACAGGAACATCGCCTTTGAAGCCCTAGCCTCTCTATTTCGTTACCCTTGCTACTACTGGCCCAAACACTGCAACAAAAAACTAGTCTGGAACGAGTCCCTAGACCACGAACGAAAATGTTTATTCCAAAGCAGCTGCAACGTGTTTTGTTCAAAACCCGGAACCTTCTTCAAATCAGATCGTAAACTCCCCAATAACCCAGGTAAGCGCTATTTAAAACCCGCTGACGTGTTTTATCACTCATCGATTCTAGAAATCAACTTGGAACATGTGACCGAGGAAATAATCCAGGATTTGAAATGCGTCGCTTGCGAAAGCTACTTATCTAATGGACCTGTTTACATTGTCGTGGACGGTAAAAATATTTGCCATCGATGCTCCCACGCCAATGGGGTTCCCAAAGGGGCGATACGAAATCTGGCCTACGAGACTATCGCTAGAGCGGCTATTTTTCCGTGTGTTTACCGCTTTAGAGGCTGCAATGTGCGGTTGAAGTTTGGAAGGGAGATGTGGGGGCACGAAAATGAGTGTCCTTATGGGCAAACTCAAAACAGGTTGTCGAAGAAGCCGTCGAAAACTAGCAAAGATACGAAAGATGGGAAGGAGAGAGGGGTGATTGAGACACATTCTGGTCATATTTGGGGCACGATCACTCCGCATTCTGCTTTGTTTGCTCCTCCGAAAGCCGCAAAAACTGACGGGAAGATGGTGACGCAAGAGTTAGCTGAAATGATGAAGAAGAAGCAGCAGGAGGAGCTGAAAGGGTTTGATGTGCAGTCAATGGACTCAGTAGTGAGCAAAGCGAGCACATTTGACAGTATAGGCGATAATATTTCGAGATCTATTGGAGATAATATTTCAAGGGATAATATTTCGAGATCAACAATTGATAACGTTTCAAGGGACAATATTTCCAGGACTACGTTTGATAATGTTTCAAGAGAAAACTTTTCGAGGTCTTCGTCGAGGATAACTGATGAATATCGGCGCCAGCCGAACGAAACTATTTTGGATGATAATTATAGACCTTCGGTTTCTGGTTATCCGCCTGAGCAAGCAGGACCGTCAAATTATGATATGCAAAGACAATCAAAGGTTGTGAGATCAAGTGAAGACTTGAATACAGCTTATCCAGGATTCCCTCAAGAAATTGCACCCTTACCAACCCCACCGGGCTACAACAAAGTACCATTTAATGGCTACTATCAAGATAATATGGCACGATATGGACGACCATCACATTTCGAACAACTTCCCCAGATGTACAATTACCCTCCAGGCTATTACGACAATAACGGCAATATGAACTACTCCGCAAGCTTCAGTTATGCACCAACACATCATCCACAAATAGCACCCAAAAGAAGTGAGAGTTTTCGTGTTGGCAATCAAGAACTCATCGACGAACTAAAAGAAAGAAATAGAAATAAAAACTCAAGTCCATCTCCGGGTGTAAAGAACGACAATCCGTACGAAAAGTGTTCCAATTTACAAGATTTAGTCCAGAAACAAGATGAGTTTAAATAATTTTGTCATAAACAGCGTTATAAAGTGATAAAATTTATGATTATATCAAACTCCTATTGTGACGTCGTTTAAGAAGCCATTTAAAGATAATACGGTCATCAATCAAATTGATGTTGCTGTCGATTAAGGCCTGAAATTCTTGGTTCGGTACCTCAAGCTAGTCATTTTCAGGTGTCCTGTTAATTACGTTTCAGTGATCCTGCTAATGAGTCCTCAAGGATTAATATTCAAGTTTCCCAGTTTATGATGATGGGGTTGAAATTATCTTTTAAGTGGCTTCACAATACGATAAAAATATTTAATTATGCTCTGCAGGTGTTCTAGATAAAGACTATCTTTTTTTAATAATCTTTTTGTTTTATTTTATCGATTTAGTGCAAATTTCTAGGAATTACCTACCGCTACGTGCGAATGCAAACAGCTACACCAAACTTTGATTTCTCAGCTCAGTGATCTTCAACTCTCCAAAACATTTCAAGATTTTATATCAGATGGAATTATTCATAAGAGAACTAATCCTTTCAAATCCTAGAACTATAGAAGCACTCAGAATTAAATCGAAGTTTTAAGTCTATTAAACAAAATTTTAATTCCGTTGAAGCTACCGTTTTCTAGAACATTTATGTCATATGATTAATTTTTTTATATAAAGAGTAACGGTGACATTATTTCTCATTCGCTGTGTTCTGCTGTAAACACAATCTTCTGCCGCTTCTCATAATGATGCAGGAATCGATTTGTGAGGCACACGAAGCCGTTTAGATTTTGTTTGATGTCTCACTAATACGGCAATATTGCACAACTTCTGAGCGATCATTTGATGCGGTTGAACTTTTTACAATACACGAAGCGTAAATTGCTTTGTTTTAAGTAGATATAGCAGTTTCTGACGACTGTGCCAGACAAGAAATACGCGCACCAAAACCGATGCTTCGTGCAACTACAATTAAACTACATATAATTTTAATATTGTTTGCTTTAGTTATATTTATTTAGAGAGGCGTGGAGATGCACTTAGTGTAATTCTACTTAATTCTAAGTCATTTTGTCATAAGCTCATAAACTTATAAGTTGATTGTTCAAAATGCAAGGGAATTAGAGTCGGATTACTTGAAATATTTCCCGTCAATGTCGTAAACGTACTTGTGTTTGCTTCATCAAGCAATAGTTAATTATTATTATTAATATTATTATAACCTCAAAACGCGTTGACCGCTACTCTGACAAGCAACCATTCTTCTGCGCATTATGTAAAAATTGATCTTTTATTAGCTATTTGAAGTATTAGAACAAAAAGGTGTATGTATATTCTTGTTTTTAAGGTACGCTGACAGACCTATTTGTTAGAACAGATACGATATACAATTAATCAAACAAATGTATCATATTACAACTTGTTTGTTTTCTAATAAACATATATTACTAAAACTAACTAAACTAATTTTGTTAAATATGGAGTTTGTGGTTGTTTAATTGGAAACATTAGTTAAAACTAAAGTTTAAATCTATGGAGATATTTTATCTTTTTGAATAACCATTTTATTGCAATTTTGCAAAGATTAATATTTAAAAATCCATTATCTTATGTAGAAAATAGTCTTTTGCATTTGCAAAGATGAAGTGTTTTGATAACTAAGTAGAATTGATAATAATCGCAAAATATTTTCTTTATTGTTTTAATAAAACAGCATATTTAAAAAACTTATACAATTCTTACAAAAGATAAAACACATATGGTTATCGGTGATTGAAACGCTTTTTTAAATCTGCTTTTAAAAACGGTTTCGATTCTTCTGATTGATATCGGATTTTCTTTTTGAACAAGCAATACATTCTTGATTTGACTAAATAAAAAATTGGTCGAAGATTACATCGACAGAACTTTCGAAAAATTAAAAGATTTGATTTTGCGAATTTTATTGTTTTTTATGGCAATCATTATAAGCTAAAATAAAAATATGTACCTAATATTTGAGTAAAGGTAAAGAAACGTGCTAACCGTTTGTTAGAAGTGAATTTTTCTATTACAAAATTTTGTGTTGATGTCATCCACTTTTTGGCAAGGACGCATATATCAGATTGGATAGATGCATTGTAATACTGATAATAAAAGTATTGTATTATTGTTATTCTTGAATCGTGATTTATAATCAAAAAAATAACGAAATAATTTAATCACGTGTGTAATAACAAATAACCGATGCGACTGGAGACTAAACTGAAAATCATTTATGATACTCGTAACTTAACACAAATAGTGATAACATTTATCAACATGTAGACGTGAGAGTAAAACAGAAACTAAACTAAAACATGTTTTCTAGGAATTGCAATAACCGGATCATAATGCCGACGGTCCAGACTTTTTTTATTGCTCTGACTTCAGCTTATCGAATAAAACACTAGTTGTAATTCACATTTGGTTAATAATAACTTGTCTAGATCTAAGGGAGGCTTAGCATACCCTAGCCTCCCCTTAGCTACGGCCTTGTCTAGGGGTTATGAAATATCTAAAAAATATGAAAGTATTAAATTGCCCGATGGACTCCATAGGTCCTTAGCTTATCCTCGATAAGAAAAACAACTTGAAAGTGTATGTTTATGCATCGGAAGAATGTCACGTAGAAATTAGTAATAATTCTTATTATATAAAGACGTTTGTTTTTCACATTTTCGCGAAAATGGGGTCACCCGTTCTTAATTTGATCAATAAAAAATATGAATGCAACGATGAATCACAAATAAAATAAGAATAACGTATAGGTACGGCATTAGTTGCTTATCGGAGGAGTGACCGTGGATCACGCCCAGACATATAAATAATTCGTCCAAATATATAAACAAGCCTGATGTGGACGCTGTAGCGAAGTAAAGTGTGTTAGATCACTGAATGTTGAATAAAAATGTGGTCTGGGGTTACTTATACACAACTTCCCTCGCCCTTGAAATACAGTCGAACAAATATAGTGTTTAGGATTGTTTAGATTGTTGGTTGGCGAAACCCATCGACAAATGTTTTTTGTATTTTCGGTGTTATGGAAATAAACATTCTATAAAATACAAAATGTTCGTAAAACTATAAAATTTATTTTGCGAATTTTATTTTTACTTCCTGAGCGTAAGCAAAGAAAGTATTGTAATCGAGTCTATCGGGGGGTGAATGGCTACGTTCATGTTTTCTCGACATTTCATGACCCATAGAGCATGAAAAATTAGGTCTCCTGGTTCAGTCTGTGTACCGTCTGTTCAAATTTTTATTAGGCAGATAATCTCCAAAATTACCGGACCGATTGTATTTTATATGTATGTTAGGAATATCATGTAAATGGTAAAACGCTAACCAAAATTTTTATGTTAAATTTTTTAAAATAACATAGTCTTGTATTTGTTTTATTGAATACAAATTCGCAAAATCAATTTTTTTTATTTTTCGAACAAGCGGGATTTGTGCGTGGGAAGACCTGTCGAAATCACTTTTGACCAATTTTTTTATGACAACCACTATAAGTTAGAAAAAGATAAGGCCATACCTATCTTTTTTTAACTTATAATGGTTATCATAAAAAATAAAATTCGCAAAAGTACATTTTATTATTTTTAATTAAAGCACAGATAAACAATCATGCTGAAGTGTGCTTTTCGATAACAAAATCTGCGATGACGTATTAACATTTTAGCAAGGACACGTATATTAATTTGAATAGGTACAGTGTAATACTATTAACAATAGTATTGTATACTTAAATTATCAGGTTGAGCCCTTCTTGATTTGATCAATAAAATAAATATCATTCACCAATTTTTTGAGTCACTCGTATAAGTAATTAATTCTAAAAATTATGAAAGCGTTGATAAACCACAAATACAGACTGACAGTATTTTGTATATTTTAGCAAAATTTTGAAATGACGGCATGCATTTTTTTAAGGGAATAAACTGATAAATTTTGAATAAGGAGTTATAGCACTTTACAACGTTTGCAAGATTTCAGAGCAATTTGTTTAGCAGTTTCAAAGTTAAAATGCAAAATGTTGTTACTCAATTTTGCATTTTTTTTCAAAAGTCTGAATTTTTGGTGTAAAAATTCAACACAGATTCATAAACCACGAATGCAGAAGTATTCTATTTTAGAGATTAGCTGTCTAATAAAAATTGACACAGACGACAGACAGACAGACCGAAACCCGGGACCTACTTTTTCGTACTCTTGGGGTCATGAAGCGTCGAAACAACATGAAAATAGCTATTCATCGGATGCATCATATTCTAGACAGCAGATTAATTGAAATTAGATTGCATATCCCGTATTTTTGTTATGACAAATAAATGTTTTAGTATAAACCTGAATTATCCTTTTTTAAATTGACTGACGTAGATTAATTATTACATACTTTGCATATTTTGACGACTTATTCCATATTTTGTCAATCTGAGCATAATATGTATGCATATGTGTGTATGTTTTACTTTATCAGTTGAAAAAATCGAAACTACCTCTTTTATAATCTCTAAATTCTAACTCATTCATAACTAGACATTCAAGAAGGCCGGTGGTAGTAAATTTTGTGAAAAAATGCCCAAAGTAAAAACAACTTTAATAAATTTATGGATAAAGGATTGTTCTAACATCAAATTACCTTATTTAATCTAATCTTTATCTCTTTAATAAATCTAAACATCGAATTAGTTCCAAATATCACAACAAGTTTTGACACAACTTCATAAAAGAAAGTGAACAATTCTTGTCGCAACTTTAAAGTAAAATGAGGAGCTTTTAGAAAAATGGTGTAAAAATGCTGCACCGGACAAAAGTACTTCTAGACTGAAAAGAATTATAAAAAACTAATCTGTTTAATTTTAAGCGCATATAAATCCGCTCTTTGAGTATTACAATACTTCCTTAGCTTGTATCGATTGTATCATAAAAAATAAACTTTGTAAAATCAAAATTTACACAGTGAGTTTCAAGTAAATAACTGTAGGCTACTACTCGTACTTTAGGGGCCAGCGAAGTTTTGTACTTTTTTATTAATACACCAAAATAGAGCTTAACAAAACTACTTGCTGATTTTCGTAATTATCTCTAACTGCAGTAAAATATTTCTTGTTTCAAGTTAGGTAATTAAAATTTAATAAAAAGTTTAATAAAGCTTAATAGAACTTTATGCCTCAAGGGTATGTTTGTTTTATGCCGCAAATTAACAACAAAAGTAGATTTGCGCTTGTTGACTTTTGCTTTTATTTTCCTAATTTGTACGAGTAAATTCCCTCTAATCTACGAAACAAAAAGTCTACTCTATTGTAGTCATCATATAATTACGGTTTTGATCTCTTGTTCATATTTATTT